CTGTAATTTATAAAAAAAATATATAAAAATTTTTAATTTATTTTAAAAATCAAAATTACTTTACAAGATTTTTTTAAAATATATAGTTTAATTTTTAAATCTAATAAATAATTAAACTAAAAGTTAATACTTTAAAGTATTTATATAGTTTCACTAGCCTAATCTAGAAGAAAAATCAATAACATTTAAAATAATTAATATAAACTTAATTCATATATTAAGTGCTAAGAAATTTATATAAAGTTTATTTTAAAATTTAAAATCAAAGTTTAAAATAACAAAAAAAGAAATTTCTAAAATATAAAACTTTAAAATCTATATTTTAAATTTATAAAAATTTTATTATAATTATAAAATAAAGAATACTTTATTTTCTTAATTTATGAATATATAATTTAAATAAATTATTTATTTTAAATTAAGTTTAAAATAAAGATTTTTTTAAATTTTATTTTAAAAACTATAAGCAGTTATTTATTTTAATTAATAATAAATTAAACTAGAAAATCTATATCAGATAATTAAATATTTAAAATCATATTTAAATAATATTTAAATAATAAATATTTTCTTTCATAATTAATTAAATATTTAAATTCTATTTTATTCTAAAATAAAATTTTATAATTATATATATTATTTTATATTTATAAATTAAATTTATAATATTTAAATTTTAATTTAATTAGATAAATATTATAATTATAACTATATACATTTAAAATAAATAATAATAATAGTAATAGTAATAATAACTAATTAATTAATTAATATATTTTTTTATAAATTTATTTTATTTTTATATAATAAAATTTGATTTTATAAATTATTATTATAAAAAATATAATAAGTATATAAAAATTAATATTATATATATTATATAATTAATTAATTAATTAATTATATAAAATAGTTAAATAATATTAAAAAACTTTAAATTATAAAATTTATAAAAATTAAATTAATTTTAAATTAATTTAAAATATAAATAAAAAATTTAAAATAAAAAATAAAAATATTAAATAAATTTAAAATTAAAAAATTATTAATATTTAAATTTTAAAATATTAAAAAATAAAAAAGTTTATAATTTAATTAAAATTTTAATAATTTATTTTTTAAATATTAATTTTAAAAAATTAATAAATTTATTTTTTAAATATTAATATTAAAAAAATTAATAAATTTATTAATTAATATATATATAATATTTTAATTTAATTATAAAATTAAATTATTAAAATAAAAATTAATTTAAAATTTTAATTAAATAAATAAAAAGTAATAAATTAAATTATATAAATTATATAAAATTAAATATTATTAAATTTTTTTATTTTTTTATTTTATTTTATAATTAATAATATATACAACTTTTAATAATATTAATATTTATTATTTTCTATATATAATCTTTGCAATATCTGATTTAATTGTATGAAAAATCCCTGATTAATCTTTTAAATTGAATTCTATATCTTTACCAGTTATATAAACTTTTGAAAATCTCAGTCAATCATTTCAAAGTCCTTTTTTTTACTGTGTGTGTTCTGACCAGTCCCGCTAGCTGTCTTTATCATTGTGAAGAGAGTTGTCAGTCTTCTTGCACTCTTCAAACATCACTCACACCTCAAGTTGAGTTGTGATGTTCTTCAAAATACGTGTTGAAGTAACTGGAAATGTTGATATGTAGCCTTTTCAGCCCCTCTTTCAGTACTCTGTCGATGTGTTTCCGGTACTCTGTTGAGTTGGCAAAGCTGCTTGTATTGCGCAGGCAGGGAGTCTGTTGAATTGACAATACAGGGCAGTGTGGCAGGGTTGCTCATGAGATGATGGTGGTAAGATTAAGGACAACTTTCCAGATCTCAATGTCCTGGATTTCGACTGCGGGAGGGCTGTTGATGACTAGGCGAACCAGCACCAATATTGGCTGTACCTAAAGTTGCCCTGTCAGAGAAGCTTAAACAAACGAGCCAGATCAGATGCCACATCCCCATCACTCATTCGTGAGTGAAGACTGACTGCTGTGTCCGTTCCCTGTAAAACAGAGAGGAATTTTGATAGATTTTAATAAACTTGATAAAGGCTATCAAAAGCACCATAAGAAATGCAATGTGATTCATGGATTTTTCTCTGCCTTTTTGAAGCAAGTCACGTAAGTCATTGATAAGTTGGTCAACAGATTTTTCTTGATGATAGCCATTTCATCTGGATGATTCTGCCTTACTGGTACAAAACAGCACAATTGGTGTGTAAAAGAAAGATAATCTTCCCACAGTGCAGTAGTTTCAAAGCTGATGAATTGAAAGTCTCATGCTGATTCTTGTAATGTTCACGGTTTTCGTTGATGATGACTAAGATTATGGACTCTTTTTTATCCGTCTTATCCTAATAACTAACTAGTTAACGTAACTAACAGTGCCACACGCACTCACCATTAGTGATTGCGCCCCACCGTAAAGAAAATATCACTGTAATGAAAATCTCTTTTTTGTATATATATCACCAATCTTCAAAATTTAATAACCACCACCACCATGCCTAAAAATATTAAATATTCGGAATATCAGATTCAGATGGCATTAGATATTATAAAATCAAATTCAAATTTAAAAATCATGAATGTGATGTGAGAATTCAAAATTTCATATAAAATTTTATATAAACATGTTAAAGAAAGAGATCAAGAAATATGAGGACTTCAATCAATTGAATGTTGAGTGACAGTCAGGAGAAAGCAATCAAGAAGTGAATTCATCAACTGAATAAAAATCTTTGCTTTTCTACAGTTGAACATATCAAAGCTGCTGCAAATCAAATACTGAGTTATTATAATATCAATTCAAACACTTCTCCTTCTATTGTAGGCAAGATGTGAGTATATCAATTCATCAAACATCTGTCAGATTATAAGAGGATTAAGCAGAAATCTATAAATTTAAAATAAGTGTCAAATGAGAATATAAGCATTGTTATCAACTGATTCAACTGCTATAAATTTATTTTCAATCAGTATAAGTTTTATACTAGTGATATTTATAATTTCAATGAGATTGAATTTTAAGAAGATGAGTATGAATAATGAGTTATAACTGTCTATCAAAGTATCAATTCTATTATATAATCATTATATTCTTACAGATTAATAATAGTGATAAAATGTATTAGTACATATGATATAATATTAAAGCTGTTAATTATAATAAAATTAAAATTTTTTTTAAATGATTGATATATACACTTCAATTTATCTGATGATTATATTATTATCATATCTGCTACTGGCTTTACAAATGATAAAATTAAATTTGAATAAATAAAATATTTTAATATTATCACTAATAAATGTCAGATTGACAGTTATCAATTATTACTACTTGACAATCATAAATTTCATTTTACTGAAAAATTTTTTCTATATTTTGACTTTTATAACAAGTTATCTACTATAATCTTTTGATAATATATCTTTTCAGTAATATAAGAATTATTATACAAAAGCATTTAATGAGGCTACTTAATATGAATATGAATAATATGATGAGAGATAATTTCTTACTAATTTAAAAAGTGTTCATTATTAAATCTTCAAATCTGCTATTATTAAAGCTGAATTTGCTGACTATAGAATCTATTCAATCAAACAAAAAATAATCCTTTAATACTTGAGATAACATAATATAGATGATAGTCTAAAGTTACTTATTTATAATGATGATGATGATGATGAATACTTCAGTTTTACTTCATTTTTGAGATTTGATTCTTCACTATATCTTCTTAGTTGACATCTTCAGATACAGTCATAAAACTACATTGTCAAATTAAGGCAATAGATAAAATTATACAATATATAAAAAATACTATGATATTTGATTTGACTCAGTAATTGGATAAAATCTTCAAGGAAAGTCTGATACAAATAAAATTGAATATGTATTAAGAGAATGAGTTATCTGCTTATTATTTGATGAATAGATATTGAATTGTCAAAAACAGCCACAGACAAATGCAGGTAGAGGAGGTCCTCACTATCAAGGATGTCAATCACAAGATCAAGCATTGTAAGAAAGAGGAATCAATAAAAGAGAGGAAAAGAGCTCTATAGTCAGTTGGGATTAAAGTTCTCAAATTAAATGCCAACTAATCACAATATGATGTTATCAATGAATCTCAATCTTTTGGAGATTCTACATAGTCTAATGAGTATATAGATAATCTTTATATTATAGATAGGCATGGTGTTGACCATTAATTAATTTTTTGAAAATTGGTGATCCTAGAAGATTTTCATTATGGTGATATTTTCTTTACAGTGGGGCGCACTCACTAATGGGAGGTAGTGAGTGCGTGTGACACGGTTAGTTGGTAGCTTTTCTCCCATTCTGATGATAACTTCACCCCAATACTATCATAGTGGAGCCGTTTTGAACCCACAAGCTGGTTTAGCTTTTGAGAGCGGGCCCACCTCAAACCAAAGCAGAATACCGTGTCTAGTTATTTGTTTAATTGTTTTCCCGTTGCCTGGTGCAGGCCGAGAAATAAACCCATACCCACTATTTCAACCCTGACTTCCCCTCATCGTGAACAGCCACTGATTAAAGTCTCTGTATAAACTCCTCTGGAAAAAGGATCATCAGTAATTGGAAAAAATCAGAATGGGGGATATCATCATTGCTTCATGATGCAACAAGGCAAAAGTAACAAATTTTATGCTGTGTTTGACAATGATAATCAGCTTTGTCTAATTCAGCCCTATCGTCGCAAGCTCCCCCTTGCTCCCAACTACCACAGAAACTTGGCCTATAGCACCCCTGCGTTGAGCAACCGGCGGCTGACAGGTAGCCATCGAGACGACCTTCACCGTGTTGTTGCACTGATTTCTCATAATGAGAAATGCAGTGTCTTTGGAATCTGCCCAGCACTGACCGCTCTTGAGAGCAAACAGATCTTGAGAGACAGCAGTTGGTTCCGGGAAGCTTTGAATTTGCTTTGCTGGAATGGACCAACTCGCCCGTCATCTGCTAGACAAAGAAGCCAAGGAGTTCATTGACTTGAATGAGTCGGCTTTGGTTTGTAAATTGGCCTCCTCCTTACACCCTGGGAAGAAGCCGTGCCAGGTCTTCTCAGACCCAAAATAGGGCAGCTACAATATCTGTTTCCCTCTTTACGAGCGCATCTGGCGAGAGCCCCGATGTCGAGTCAACTGAGAGAGTTGAACAATGGATGGTTCGGATCCCTTTACTACGGCGTCTCGCATTTCCTGAGGAGAAGACGCGCGGCGAGATTGCAACGATGAAGTAAGAAGCTCCAGAGAGTTCTACTTTGTAGTTAAACTCTCTAACAATGCCACATTACCATGCTGTAGGTACATTGCTGAAAAGACCACCATTCCTATCCCACGTCAACTCGGATACTCTATCAGCTGAGATAATCTTCTTGGCCTTCCCTTTGTGGTCCTGGAGTACGTTACAGGCAAAACTCTCCATGGAACTGATGTGCCGCGCCTTCACGACGAGTAGTGGTCATATCTGTTCGATATCTATATTCAACTCTGCCGCCAGCAGTTCGGCCATGTCGGCGCTCTCACGCTCGACAGCTATAATGAAAACTGGGTGTTTAAACATAACGGCCGCTCACCATTAAGCTAAATGACCAGGAACTCAGTGGGATAAAGAGCTCTAAGATTATATCTGTTCACCAGACCTACGGCTCCACTGTTGGTTACAACTACGCCGCCCTGATATTGATTTTCAACGACTTTTACCGCGGGAAGGATAGTGATTTCAATGAGAAGGATGCATGGAACTATCTAAATAACATTTCTGCGTCCCGGGGCATTGTGATGGAATGAGAAGACCAAAAAGACAAACAGGGCCCGTTCATTCTCATGCATGGGATCTTCAACCTCCTAATATCTTTGTGGATGACGATCTGAACATCATCACAGTTATCGAATAAGAATAAAGTCACACTGGTCTACCACAAATGTTTAACCTGCCCTCTTAAATTACAGGCCAGGAGCTCTCAGCTACCACTAAATAGTCATACGACCTTGCATGTACAGTATACATATCTCAATTTCAGCGAGCTGTAAGAGCAAGAGAAAACAAGCATTTATTTTGTGCCTAAATCTTCACCAACATTGATTGGTCGGCTCAGATGGGTTGCTGGTGCTTTGGTTGGTTGATTGGCATTGAAGTTTTCCTTAGCATTGGGACGCTTTCTGACTGTTTTCTGTGGCTGCAATAGATCAACAGGACTACTCTAAGCATCATATGGCTTGCCATAGTCTGGATCTTTGTATGGTTCCATTTTCCCAGGCTGATTGCGGCTCTACCGTTTGTTTTTTGCATTGTGGAGGGCACTATCTTATATTGGGTGTCATTCTAATAATGCCAGGGGTGGTTTTCCTTCAAGAAATGGAAATAAAATGGTAGCAGAAAGGGAGCTGCTAAAATATGATTAAAAAATAAACAGGTATATCTGCAGTTGACCTTGATGCTGAAGCAATCTATTAGAATTCCTCTATTTCAATAAGCACCATGAATGATAAAGATGTGTAATAGGCTAGGCCCATATCCCTGAGAATATAAGATTATATTGAATATCGTTAAATGCAAAAGGTTTCGTTGAGGGGAAAAGGAAAGAGGAAGAGAACGGGCAACGGTGCTTTCGTGGGCTTTTGTAGTAAGCTGTGAGCTGCGCGCTTACGTGATTAATCACCTACTAACTAATGTATTTTCCAAGTGAGCGCAACACCAATTCAAAATATCTTTTAATTCAACTACCTTTCCACTTCAACGTGCAATTATGTCATCAATTCACAATAAAAATGCTTCAGATTCTCTAGAAAGAGAGGGAAGACTTGAACTCACAATAAAAGCTTTTAAAAATCAAGAAATTGCTTCAATTCACGAAGCTGCTCATTTATTTAATATCTTTTATTCTACTTTAATCTATTGACTGAATGACCAGCAATCGTGGATGAATTTATATGCAAATTCATATAAATTATCTCCTGCTGAAGAATATAAGCTAGTTGAATAAGTGCTGAACCAGGCTAAATAAGAATTTCTCTCACAATCAGTATTAATTGAGGATACAGTTAATTATCTTCTTACTATGCAGAATTCAATCATCACTATCACTTCCCCTCTCTATATTGACAAGAACTAAGTGTTAAATCTAGTGACACATTGTCTAGATTTTCAAAGTTGTTATTTCAGACACTATAATCATGAATGAATCAAGTATGAAGATTAGTAAATTATAAATGATTGATTTAAAATCTTAAGAAATATAATTGCTGAATATAATATTCTGTCAAAAGATATATACAACTTTGATAAGACTCAATTTGCTATAAGAGTTTGTACTACTATTAACATTATTACTAGTAGTAACTGTTATGACTGAGCTAAGCTGCTATAATCTGAAAATTAAAAATAAATTATTGTGATAAAGTCAATCAATATATCAAAATAAGCTCTATTATCATACATCATTTTTAAAGATTAGAATCTGCTGAAAAAGTGATTTGAAGATCTTTTTGCAGATTGAAAACTTGATATTAGTTTTAATAACTGAACTACAGATAAAATATATTTTAAATAATTTATATAGATATTTATTTCAGAAGTAAAATTGTATCAAATTAACTCTCATATTCTTCTTATTTTAAACGGATATAATAGTAATTTTATCTCAAAATTTGATTAAATCTATAAAAATAATAAAATTATTATATTTTATATATTATTTCTGTAGAGGATTAAGCTTTAAGAACTAGAGACTAGTCCTTCTATATAACAAGGATGAATTGTTTGAGAAAGGGAAGAAAAGAATGAGATGAGAACATGAGCTTAAGCAAGCTCACATAGCATGATCATGTGCGCATATGCAAATGATAGTTAAGCTGATTCAGCCAGTCAGAGTGAATCTAGAGGTTCAGCTCCTTGTAATACCCCCCTTCTCTCTCTTTGTTGTAGGCCTTTATGACTATTTAAAGCTCTCTTTACATCTAATTTTGCCTGCTGAGAGGCCTCCCAAGTGTTCAAAGTCTTCACTTCTTGTAGGAAACTCACATCATTTCATGTAGGCTTAGCTCAACCTATTCATTTAACAAAGTATTACTTTTTCCTCTAATAGATTTGTTCACCTCAAATTTCCTCAATCTCAAACTCAGGTTCTTCCAGGGTCTTTATAGTGGATGACTATCAGTCAGTTTACCTCTGACTAGGCAGGAGATTCATCACTACAGCATATAGAAGCTTTACATTAAAGACATTATGAATGTCAGATAAGACATTCAGTCAGTAAGCATGAAATTCTATCTTTTCTAGCACAGTATATTGATTGTATTTCACATTCAGCTTCTTGCACAGGTGATTAGTTCTCATGTTCTCTAAGCTCAACCAGATCTTATCTTCAGGTTAAAAGCTTGAAGCTGGGTCTCTTCATCTATTCACATAGTTCTCTTGAAATTGCTGAGCATCTGTCATTTTTACTTGAGTTCACTTCAATATTTCACAGATCTTTCTCATATAATCATCTGCAAACTCAATGAAATTATGTGGCATTTCAACAGAAGGTGCATCAGCTATATCAATAAAGAAGACATGAAAAAGATGTGTTAAAAAAAATGAGCTCATGTCTGTTGAGGCAGTATCTCTATTATTGATAATCAGCTCTGTCAGAGAGAGTCATTTACATCAGTCATTCTGTTGAAAGCTAATGTACTTGCATAGGTAGATTTTCAGAGTCTAATTCATTCACTCTGTAGCTCTGTCAATCTCTGAGTGATAGACTGTGAAGAGTCATCTCTTAATGTCTAATTTCTCACACACTCAAGTTCAAAACATGCTTGTAAAAGCTGACTCTTGATCTGATACTATCACCTTAGAAATGCTATATCAAAGAATAATGTTATGAAGAAATACTCTAGTCACTATCTCTGCATCAGTTTTCTTAACTGCTTTTAATATAACTCTTTTGATCAGTCTATCTGTTATAATCATGATGTTTATATATTCTTTAGAGCTTGATAAGTTTATAATAAAGTTCATGAAAAGCTCCTGTCACATGTGTTCAGGAATGAGAAGAGGCTTAAGCAGTTTCTGATGTTGATCTCTTTATGTGATGTTTAATCTGTAAAGATAGCAGTTCCTGATCATTCTTCTCACATTGGTGACATAGCCTGGTCAGTAGAACTCATGTTTTAGAACTTCTGCTGTTTGCTATCACCCAGAATGATCAGTAAGAGATGAGTTATAAGTCTCATATACTAATCTGATTTGAAGAGGTCTGAAGTCTGACACTCACTTACAATTTCAAAAGAGAAGCTTCTTATTCTCATTTAAAGAGCACTCAGAGACAGAGGTCTTAATGCTGAGTTCAGAAGAAAATCTGAATTTTTTCTCATGAAGAGTCTGCTCCAGACACTGCAGAATCTTGTCATTTTTGTGAGCCTCATTTCACTGAGCTTGAAAAGACATCTCAGGTTTCACACTGGCAGCAGTCACTCTTGATTCTATTTCAGATGCTAGTACATTAAACTTAAGTAGTTGAGCTTGTCTCTGCTTGATTCTCTCATCATCAGCACTCTGTGACATGTTCTGCTCTCTTCACAATAGAGTGTTTAGTTCAGTGTTCAACTTTTCTGACTGATAATCAATTCTGAAGTTGAATCAATAGAGAATATCCATTCAATGTAGCTGTCTTTCATTTAGTCTGTGTGTAGTCATGAAGTATTCTAGATTCTTATGATCTGTGAGAATCTTGAATTCCTTTACACTTCATAGCTCAGCATCTTATTTCTTTAAACACTCAATTATTACTAATAACTTCTTATTATGAATCTTATAGTTGCATTCTGCAGGTGAATGCTTGCAAGAGAAGAAGGTATATGAGTGTAGAATGCTCTGCTCATCATATTGTAGCAGCACTTCTCCTAAGATGTAATCTGAGAAGTCCATTTTCAATATAGTCTCACAGTCAGAGTCAAATTGAAGCAGAATTGAAGCAGAGATAAACATTGATTTTAGATACTTAAAAGCTTTCTCAGTTTTGCTTATTCACAAAAAAGGAACATTCTTGCATGTAAGAATTGTCAGTGAGATCACAATCTTTTAGAAATCTCTGATAAATTGTCTATAGAAATTGACAAAGTCTAAAAATCCTCATACACCTTTAAGAGTAGTAGGTGTTGCTCATTTCAAAACAGCTTTAATCTTCTTTGAATTCATTTGTATACCCTTGCCTGCTTCAATGATAAATTCAAGATATTTTGTGCTGTTCATCTCAAACTCACTCTTTCTGATGTCTGCCTGCAGGCCTGCTTCTCATAGATGCATAAGCATCTTTTGTACATGCTTGTGATGCTTCTGTAAGCTTCTTGAAGAAAATATCAAGATGTCATCTAAATAGACTGAGCAGAAGTTGTCCAGATATTCATGTAATGCTCAGTTGATATATTTTTGAAATGTGCTCAGAGCATTGACCAAATCAAAGAGTGTAATCAGCCACTCAAATAGCCTGTATCTGATTCTAAAGACTATCATCCACTCATCATCTTCTGTGATTTGAATCTTGTGAAAAGCTGCAATAATGTTCAGCTTAGTGAATCATTTAGCCTGTCTAATTCACTGTAGAGTCTCACTGATTAATGATAGAGAATATCAATCCTTTCAGATGATTTTGTTAAGAGCTTAATAGTCTACACAGAATCTTAATCCACTCTCAGACTTCTTTGTGAATAGTACAGAGGCAGCCACAGGTGAGTTGCTCACTTTAATAAAACTCTTATCCAGATAATCTGTAAGAGTCTTTCACAAAGTCAGTAGTTCCTCTCAA